ACCCCGACTGCACCAATGTAACGGATCCGGACCCCGACTGCACCAATGTAACGGATCCGGACCCCGACTGCACCAATGTAACGGATCCGGACCCCGACTGCACCAATGTAACGGATGCACCAATGTAACGGACCCCAGACTGCACCAATGTAACGGATCCGGACCCCGACTGCACCAATGTAACGGATCCGGACCCCGACTGCACCAATGTAACGGATCCAGACCCCGACTGCACCAATGTAACGGATCCGGACCCCGACTGCACCAATGTAACGGATCCGGACCCCAGACTGCACCAATGTAACGGATCCGGACCCCGACTGCACCTATGTAACAGAGCCGGACCCGACTGCACCTATGTAACGGATCCGGACCCCGACTGCACCAATGTAACGGATCCCGGACCCCAGACTGCACCAATGTAACGGATCCGGACCCCGACTGCACCTATGTAACAGAGCCGGACCCCGACTGCACCTAATGTAACGGATCCGGACCCCGACTGCACCAATGTACGGACCGGACCCCGATCCAGCCGGACACTATGTTAATAGGATCCGGACTGCACCAATGTAACGGATCCGGACCCCGACTGCACCAATGTAACGGATCCGGACCCCGACTGCACCAATGTAACGGATCCGGACCCCGACTGCACCAATGTAACGGATCCGGACCCCGACTGCACCAATGTAACGGATCCGGACCCCGACTGCACTCAGGTATTTCCGTTAGACTCCCACTTCCCTGTCCGAACACAGATCCCCGGACCCCACCGCTGACCATACAGGATGAAACAACCAGACTTGTATGAAAGACAGGAAATAGACGGCTTTATTGTCACACAGACACAAGATATATACACAGGGCGGTTGGCAATACATTTTGTAACAAGAGACATCAACAGACAGTCCCATCAGGAGGGAGGGCTGCTGGAGACACCAAGCCAATACACAAACACATACATCCCATAATAGTTTGCTCCCAAGCCAGACACACAATAGAACAATGGGATGCACCACATGGCATTAAACAATGAACACCCCCCCCCTATACATGTCTACTGAATATCAGGACAGATCACCCTGCACCCCTAACAGGCACAGGGTGACTTACACATAAGAGGGATATGGGGAGCTGAGACAGGGGTCTCCCCACCTCTGCAAAGTGAGCTGTGTTCCATGGGCCCCCCACCCAAAGGGGGCTGTGCTCCATGGGCCCCCCACCCAAAGGGGGCTGTGTTCCATGGGCCCCCCACCCAAAAGTGAGCTGTGTTCCATGGGCCCCGCACCCAAAGGGGGCTGTGTTCCATGGGCCCCCCACCAAAGTGAGCTGTGTTCCATGAGCCCCCCCACCCAAAGTGAGCTGTGTTCCATGGGGCCCCCCACCCACAGTGAGCTGTGTTCCATGGGCCCCCCACCCAAAGTGAGCTGTGTTCCATGGGCCCCCCACCCAAAGGGGGCTGTGTTCCATGGGCCCCCCACCCAAAGTGAGCTGTGTTCCATGAGCCCCCCACCCAAAGTGAGCTGTGTTCCATGGGCCCCCCACCCAAAGTGAGCTGTGTTCCATGAGCCCCCCACACCAAAGTGAGCTGTGTTCCATGGGCCCCCCACCCAAAGTGAGCTGTGTTCCATGGGCCCCCCACCCAAAGGGGGCTGTGTTCCATGGGCCCCCCACCCAAAGTGAGCTGTGCTCCATGGGCCCCCCACCCAAAGTGAGCTGTGTTCCATGGGCCCCCCAGCCAAAGTCCCTCCCGTCACACAGTGCCTCATCGTCTTTTGGAATCACGTATTAGATATAGTAGCGCACGCAAATGAAATAAAATGTTAAAATCTCTTTAAAACGTTGGAATTTGAATCCACGGTGTGTTTGTAAAGCTGCAGTGTACCTGCTGTGTGTTTCCTTCCGTCATGACGTCAGAGCCCCTCCCCTACGCGTTACGCCACCAGGTCACGTGGCTTCATCAGGGAGACTGCGTTGGGCATTCTGACAGTGGGGGGGGGGGGGGGGGGGACTGACTAACTGCCACTGACATCCCCAGGGATCAGTGCTAATAAAAAGCTAATACTAATGGCACTGGGCAGGGAGGGGTTAACATCTGGGGCCATCAAAGGGTTTACCTGTGTGCTGTGTTACTCGGGAGACGTGCTGTGCAGAGATACAAAGCAGCATGTCCTTGCTGACAGGAGAGAGATACACATGTTGGTTACATACAGACCTTTCCCCTGTTAGTTTTACTTGGTGATTGCTGGGTGCCGGTGGGGAATCTCCATCCGGGACCCAATGATTGACATCTGTAGTCACCAATGGCGGCGCAGGTGGGGTGGCACATGTGCGCACATAAGGGGAGCACATAAGAGGCAAGACCAGATAGATCAGGACCAAGGGGAGCAGATACAAGGCAGGACCAGATAGATCAGGACCAAGGGGAGCAGATACGAGGCAGGACCAGATAGATCAGGACCAAGGGGAGAAGATAAGAGGCAGGACCAGATAGATCAGGACCAAGGGGAGCAGATACAAGGCAGGACCAGATAGATCAGGACCAAGGGGAGAAGATACAAGGCAGGACCAGATAGATCAGGACCAAGGGGAGCAGATCCGAGGCAGGACCAGATAGATCAGGACCAAGGGAAGCAGATACAAAGCAGGACCAGATAGATCAGGACCAAGGGGAGAAGATAAGAGGCAGGACCAGATAGATCAGGACCAAGGGGAGAAGATAAGAGGCAGGACCAGATAGATCAGGACCAAGGGGAGCAGATACGAGGCAGGACCAGATAGATCAGGACCAAGGGGAGCAGATACAAGGCAGGACCAGATAGATCAGGACCAAGGGGAGAAGATACAAGGCAGGACCAGATAGATCAGGACCAAGGGGAGAAGATACAAGGCAGGACCAGATAGATCAGGACCAAGGGGAGCAGATCCGAGGCAGGACCAGATAGATCAGGACCAAGGGGAGCAGACACAAAGCAGGACCAGATAGATCAGGACCAAGGGGAGAAGATACAAGGCAGGACCAGATAGATCAGGACCAAGGGGAGAAGATACAAGGCGGGACCGGATAGATCAGGACCAAGGGGAGCAGATACGAGGCAGGACCAGATAGATCAGGACCAAGGGGAGCAGATACGAGGCAGGACCAGATAGATCAGGACCAAGGGGAGCAGATACGAGGCAGGACCAGATAGATCAGGACCAAGGGGAGAAGATACAAGGCAGGACCAGATAGATCAGGACCAAGGGGAGAAGATACAAGGCAGGACCAGATAGATCAGGACCAAGGGGAGCAGATACAAGGCAGGACCAGATAGATCAGGACCAAGGGGAGCAGATACGAGGCAGGACCAGATAGATCAGGACCAAGGGGAGCAGATACGAGGCAGGACCGGATAGATCAGGACCAAGGGGAGCAGATTCGAGGCAGGACCGGATAGATCAGGACCAAGGGGAGCAGATACGAGGCAGGACCGGATAGATCAGGACCAAGGGGAGCAGATACGAGGCAGGACCGGATAGATCAGGACCAGGGAGCAGATACAAGGCAGGACCAGAAACAAGGCTCAGGATACTCAACAAGCAAGTCTCTGGCTAGCAGGAACAACACTGATGTCAGGAATGGACTCGCCAATGGTGGTGGGACTCACCTGCCTTGTGGGCTGCAGTACCAGGGCTGGTCAGCGGGTGCTCTCAGCAGCCAGAATCTCACTCCTGCAATCAGGCCATCACCTGAGGCTGATTGCAGGAGGTGTATTTAAGCAGGACCAGGCCTGTGATCTGGGCCTTGGTGTATGTTTCCCATGAGCCCCTGTACCTGGTATCCTGTGTTCCTGTTCTGCTGACTATCTGCCTAGTTGCTGACCCTGCCTGACCCTGACCTCTGCTGACTTCTCCTGCTTGATCCCTGGCTTGCCTGACCATCCTTCTGCCTGATCCTCTGTACCGTGCTGCCCGTGAGTTACTGAACCCGGCTTGTGACCCCGACCATTCTCTGCCTGCTCCTCCGGTACCTCGCTGCCCGCACGTTGCTGACCTGGCCTGCCTGACTACGCCTTAAGCTACCCAGACGATCCATCCATCCCGCACGGATCTGTCCCTGTTACCAGGTCTGCCAGCCTCTTCACGTCAGGCTTTCCCCCGGTACATACCCCTCGGTGGACCCCTCTACCACAGTTGGGTGCAATCAGGGGCCGCGACCTGTTCTCAGTCCTGCGCCAAGTCCATCCCCACCATCAGGGGCTCTGGTGAAAAGGCAGACTGGGGCTTAGACTCCGCGCCCTGGGGAATCCCGTTCTGTGGGTACTAGAGATCCCGCTGGGCGGTGCCTGACAGCACCTAACGGCCTGCCTGACCATTCCACCTCTCCAGCCCTGACTACGCCTGCGTTCCCACACATTTCATACCCGGATCCTTAACAACTGAAGCAGGAGGTAATAGGGACACAAATACCCTCCCAGCAGCCAGCATTGGATGGAAATGGATCACTGGGATCGGCTGGGAGACACCTGCTGGCAGACACTGGAATTACAACCCTCCTCCCAGGAATCCTCCAGGTCCCCCAAGCCTTTCTGGGAGGCTATTTCCTGACCACCGGACAATTTTGTGAACTGCGATGACCAGAGGTGGCGGGTTTGCGGTCTCTTCCGTCTCCACAGACGCTCCTAATTATTGGGCCCAACTGACAACTTACAGAGCGACTCCTTTGTATACAGCATGGACATCAGCAGCTGATATAAGTTGTACGGGACGCTGGCTGTGCGCCCTACACTGCAGGAGTATTTCCCCGCTACTGGGGGCGCGGTCCCTCTATGGCGTCACCACAACAGAAAAATCGATCAATAAATACCGTATTGGCTGTCCATACCCGGTCACTATGAGATTGGTTTCCTGTATTCTGCAAGAAACCTGGTTGATCTTCTGTCTCCCCCTCCTGTCCATGTCTCCCCCTCCTGTCCATGTCCCCGCCTCCTGGCCATGTCCCCACCTCCTGTCCATGTCTCCCCCTCCTGTCCATGTCCCCCGCCTCCTGTCTATGTCCCCGCCTCCTGTCCCCGCCTCCTGTCCATGTCCCCGCCTCCTGTCCATGTCCCCGCCTCCTGTCCATGTCTCCCCCTCCTGTCCATGTCCCCGCCTCCTGTCCATGTCCCCACTGCAGTTGTGGATTTTGCAGGGCAGTGTTGGCAGCTCTGCACATGCTCAGTTTTCATTGAGTTTCTATGCTGAGCATTTCCTCCCCATCACATCACAGCAGCCCATGTGACTACAGAGTCACACATGTGGGCGTATACACAGCGTTAAATGAAAGGCCACTCCCCCCTCCTCCTCCATGTGGGCGTATACACAGTGATACATGACAGGCCACTCCCTCCTCCATGTGGGCGTATACACAGCGTTAAATGAAAGGCCACCCCCCTCCTCCTCCATGTGGGCGTATACACAGCGTTAAATGAAAGGCCACTCCCCCCTCCTCCTCCATGTGGGCATATACACAGCGGTAAATGAAAGGCCACTCCCCCCTCCTCCTCCATGTGGGCGTATACACAGCGTTAAATGAAAGGCCACTCCCCCCTCCTCCTCCATGTGGGCGTATACACAGCGGTAAATGAAAGGCCACTCCCCCCTCCTCCTCCATGTGGGCGTATACACAGCGTTAAATGACAGGCCACTCCCTCCTCCTCCTCCATGTGGGCGTATACACAGC